TATTATTATTACATCTTCATATTATATTATATATTTATTATCCCAGTTAATAATTGTAATTATAATTATAAAACGGGAAATTTTAATTATTTTATTTATTATTAATTTACTTTTAATAATTTCAACTCTTCAATATTAAATTTAATAATATTAAAGAGTTGATATTACTGAAGTAAATTAATAATAAATATTAAATATTAATAATTAAATCATTAAATTATTAAATTATTTCAATAATAATTAAATCATAAAATTATTAAATTATTTCAATAATAATTAAAATCATTTCATTTTTCTAAATTTCAAAATCTAAAATAATACAAAATAATCGAATTTTCCACTAAAGAAACAATAAAGTATTTTAAATTTGATAAAAAAAATTTATATTCTTGACCGAAGCGTGAAAGTGAGTTCATTTTGGAATGTAAAGAGAGAGAGAGAGAATTTTCATTCTATCGTTTTATAATATATATAGAGAGAGAGAGGAAAAGTCTCGACTCATCGTTTTTTTTGAAGGTACCTTGGCGCACACATTTTGTGCTTTTATTGTTGCTTTTCACGGTACGCCATGAAAATGTATCGTTTACATCGATCTGGCCTCACACGGAAATACAACATTAAAAGATCCTGCTCGTGACAACGATTAACGCCCTCTGACACGTGCACCGATGCTATTATACAGAGACGATGAGAAAAGTTTCTCTCCTCTCTCTCTCTTTCTCTCTCTCACTCTATACCGGAAAGAACGAACCGGACATTAATAACCTCTCTCTACTGAAAAGTCTATTATAATATTTCCTCGCTGTTGAGAAGCTTCGCGAGCTTTCGACCAACACAAATCTCGAGGCCGATAACGTTTTCCTCATGAGGAAAAAAAAGAAGTTTAACTCTCGAGGTATTAAAGAAATTTCACTCTCGTGGGTGAATATATATATACATATATAAGCGCTGAGATAATTCCTCCCCGCGCGCTATTCCATGCAAATTGCTCATCGATGGAAGAGATGCTCCATTATTCTAATCTTATTGACTATGGATTACATTATTTTAATAGTCTTACAAAGAGAACAATTTTCCTCTTTCCTTTACATTATATAAAGTGAATTTTTTTTTTCAATTACTCGCTACATAAGGATGTTTTTTTTTTGTTTTATGTACACTGAAAAAAATTAAAATCTCAAAATGAGAAAACAAAAATTAATTTTATTTATAACTACACTGAAAAAAAAATTTATTTCATTCATATAATTTGTTACTTAACTACAGGCCTCAGATTATTTCTTTATTTATTTAGATTTACAACACTGTTAACCTAAAAGTGTCAAATTGCAACGAATTGATCCAAAAATGCGGATCAAATCAAAAATTGATCCAAATTTTTAGATCAATTTGATCCACTTCGGGTTCAATTTGATCCTTTCTAGAAAACTGTGAAATTATTTATTTATTTAGATTATACGAATTTCTTTAATAATTTTAATGAAATTCTTTACAAATTCAATAATCTTAAACTATTTTTTAATTAAAAATTTCATGAAATTTAATAATAATTTAAAATTTACAAAAAAATCATCAAATAAAATTGTAAAAAATTTCAATTCAAATTATTTTTAAAGATTCCAATTTAAAACCTTTTAAAATTTATAATTATTTCTAAAATTTTCCATCTAAAACTTGCTGAAATTTAATAATTTCAACTATAACTCTTCCGAAATTAAATTATTTTTAATAATTTTGATAATTATTATTTGAAAAATTATTTTCAAATTCTGTAGAATTTAATTATTCTCGTAAATTTAATAAAATCTTTTGATATTAAAATTATTTGAATTAATAGCAAACGATTTTTGAAAAAAAACGACTAAGGGGAAAAAAAATATTTTGGAAGAATAATATCTTGGCTCTTAATAATTGGAACTTTTGTCTCCATATGTAAAATAAATATTGAATATTATACAAAATAGTAACCGATTATCTGAATAATAATAATAATTTTTATTGTAGAATAAATCCGAAAAAAAGATTCAAATTAAAAATACCACACTGAAAAAAAATTTATTTGATTTAAATAATCGGTTATACTTGACTATTATCAAATAAATATATTTTTAAATAATTATTATTTGAGATGGTATTTGTTTCAAATGCAGAAAGTATTATTTCAAATACAGTTTATTTGATTGAATTAAAAATTATTTGGTTCAATGAAAATATTTATTTGATAATAGTCAAGTATTTATTTGTAAATTTTTTCTAGTGCACGAAATTAAATAATTTTTCAAGTTGTTTTTTGAATAAAATTTATAACAGCGCATTTTTTTTTTGCAATTATTCAATTTCCTTATATGATATCGATATATAGGAGAGGAGGATCCATTTTTCTCTCACCGTATCACTATATGCAGTCAGATTGAAGTTATTCAAATGTCACTTTTAATGGAATACGAAAGTGATGGAAATGTCTAAGAATTGGAGAAACGACAAAGTGAGAGAAAGATGGAGAGAGAGAGAGAGAGAGAGAGAGAGAGACAGAGAGCTGAGAAGTGATCAAATTCCATGGTTATCCATACGTGAAATCTATATATCTCCTTTGAGGAATCTGTTTCCCGAGCTCTATCTATTGCGAATTGGTAGTAGTTGCGGTTAACATTATAGCGTTAGTCCCCCTCCTTCATCTCTCTATATAGAAACCCCTGGAATCCATCTAGAGGCTAAAGAGTAGATCTGATTCCACAAATGAACCTGTCCGACCTCATAGAACAATCTCAATGGTACTCTCTTCAATAATCCTCGCAAATACTAAAATTTCTCTTTAAAAATCACTATTTAGCTGAATATATATAATAATATATATTCTATTATTATAATGCATTCTCTCATACAAGTCACGTGTTACCAGACTTTTTTTCCTTTTTTTTTATTCCTCCTCTCTTATTTCCAACAAAATTAGAAGTTTTTTTGATTAAATTTTTATCTCCACTGAATATAAGGGACACTCTTAAAAAGAGTCCTGCGAAAAAAGATTTCTTTTCAAGGATTTATCTCACGAGATAAGATTTTATTTTTTCTCATTTTATAATGTTTCCTTTAACATTTTTTATTTTAATTTTTTCATTAATTTTAAGGAAATTTTAATTTTCAATTGTTATTTGAAATTTTTAGTTTAGAAAATTGTTTAAAAAATATATTTTCATGTTACATATATATATATATTGCGCTTAATAAATTACATTTAGAAAAACCGAGATATTTCAAAAAAGCTTTTCTCGAAAATAGAATCAAGTCCCGTAATAGGACCAAGAGAAAAGAAAAGGTGGAGAATGGAGATAGCAAGACAAAGGCAAATAAAATGAAAAACAAGAGAAAAGCACAGGGATAAAAGAATTGAAAGTAAGAAAACGAAATGGTAGAATGAAACAGGAATAATAAAAAACAATGCAATGAATGCACTTAAAGAATCTATAAAAAAAAAATAAATAACGCTCTTAAATTTTCGGAAGGAGAGAAAAAGTTTTATTAATATTACATTATAATAATAATAATTATTATTATTTATTATTAATATTATTTTAAGTAGGAAAATTATTATAATAGTATAATTATTTATTTTACTGTTTATAATAATAATAATAATAATAATATTTTATCCAAAAAAGTTTTTGAATTGTTGTAATCTCTTAATTTAAGACAACGATTCTAAAAACGTTATGATTTGATAAAATCTTGAAGTGAATATAAAAAAGTAAATTTTGTTTATTTTTTTTTTATCATTAAAAATAAAACGAAACAATGTGATAAACATCTGCACTAAAAGTAATATAATACATTCATCTCCTTTTCATTATGATGTTAGGGAATCGTAAAACTTCATAGGGGCATTGTTCCGCGTGACTTTACAATCCCATAAACTGATATTTGCGTTTCCCTTGACCAAACAAACGCACATACGCAAAATGCCTTTTCCATGTCACATTTTATACTCAAAGATACTAAAATTTCTCAAAAAAAAAAAAAAAGAATCATGAAAAACACGTTTAGTTTTTTTATAAAAAAAAACCACTCAGTTAATTCAACTTTCTTTTCCGCTCAAATATTTACATCATCAATCTCCCTTTTCTATAAAAGATTTGTTGACAATGTTTACACATATATAGACGTAAAAAAAAAAAACATGAAATATATACTTCCAAACCATTTCATTTCATAGACAATCTCACATTTCTCTTCTTTTATCATCCACCAGTTTTCTTACAACTTTCTGAACAAAGAAGTACATTCACAGTGGTGACGATCATCAACAGGTTCCTCTGCGCCATTAGCCAGAGTCACTGGCACTGGTCCAGAAGGGGGTATATATAGTGTTGCTCCTCTCCACCCCCCCCCTACCCTTCCATTCAATGAACATCCGCAAGAAAAAGAAGAGAAAGAAAAATTTCCCCTTCTGTCAATATTTTTTCTATTTCGAATTTTGTTTATCGATTTTTTTATCGGTAGCAGAAGAAGATGGTAAAAAGAAATTTACCCTTTTGTCAATATTTGCGGAAAAAATCCGTAAACCGCTTTTGAAAATTTTCTCGATTTTTTTTTTAATACTAATAAGTCAATTTTCCGGTAAAAATCCGGAAACCGATTTTGGAATTTAGTTATTAGTATTAAAAAAAATCCCGAAAAATTTCCAAAAGCGGTTTCCGGATTTTTTGCAGAAAATTTACTTATCCGGAAACCGTTTTTAAAAATTTTCCTGATTTTTACCGGTAATATTAATAAGTAAATTTTTTACCAATAATTCCACAAATTGGAATTTTGTCAAAATTTTTATTTCGAATTTTTTTTTCAGTAAAGAATAAGAAAATGGTAAATATAAAAATGAAGAAATGGGTAAAAAGAAAATAAGAAAATGGCAAAGAATAGAAAGAAAAAGGGGTGGGGGGGGGGTGGAATTGTTTAATGTGACGATTTTTTGCGCGACACTTTTTTTTTTTTTTTTTTAAATCACTTACCCTGTTTTTAACGTTTAAACCCCGAGAAAAATGTATTTGATCTTTTTTTTTTGTTTTTTTTCCTCTTTGTCTCTCTCTTCTCTTTGCGCAAAGCGAGATAAATTTTTTTTTTTTTTTTTTTTTTTTTAGAGAAACGACAGTTGAAGTTGCCTTAAAAGCATAGCACTGTACGCGAATTTATTTTTCTCTCTGCGGTGTCTAAAAAGCCACCTAGGAGCGCGCGCGGTCTCACTCGGTAAGGGTGTCGCGGTGCGACTGTAGCACACACTACCCTCTCACGCTTTCGCGGCTTCTCTCCCATCCCCCACCCCACCCCCTTCCTCAACACGATTCTGCACCTCTTGCCGCCGTTAGATCGCCCCCATTTCAACCCCCTTTTTCCCCCTCCTATGTAGGGTACTGTTCTGGCCACTCCCACTATACATGCACACAAACCCACCCCCTCTACATCTTCCTCAACCCCCCCCCCAAAAAAAAGAATCATTTCCCTCCCCACCTCTTGGAAAAGCATAATCCCACTCCTTATTTTTTTTTGCAGCTATTTATGGAGTGGGGGGGGGGAGTTTAATTCAAGATTTTCACAAACATTTGAGACTTGAAATACACTGTTTTCTTTTTTTTTCTACCTTATACAGCGTGGGTTATAAAAACGAGAGTAATTCATTTTTGATGAGAATTTGACAAGTTTTTTTTTCTCTCGAGAATTATTTTTCTTGTTGAATATATTAAAGGGGAATAATTGAAAAGATAAGAATAAATTTTTGCCAATAAATCAAACTAACATTAAATCGATTTATTATTTTACGAAATTATTGTTTAACAAAATTTTTATTCAGTCGAATAGTTATTTAACTAAAACGGAATTAAATATAATTTTCCTGAATAGTATTTAACTAAATTTTATTAAGCCAATTAACTAAACTGACATTTAACCGATTTAATACTTAATCAAAATTATAATTTAATTAAATTGCTATTTAGCCGAATAGTTATTTAACCATAACGAAATTTAACAGAATTTTTAATTTTTGCTAAACAGTTATTAAATCAAATTGTTATATTTAATTGAATATCAATTTAACCAAAATTTTATTAAGTCAAATACTTAACAAATCATTTGGCTAGAAATTTATTAAACCAAATTTTTATTTTGTCAATTAACCAAACTGACATTTACCGATTTATTACTTAACCAATTTATTATTTAACCTAATTATTATTAAACCAAGTTATTATTTAACAAAATTATTACTTAATCAAATTAATATTTAGCCGAATTATTATTTAACCAACCGTTTATTTAACCAAATCATTACTTAACCAAATTAATATTTAGCTGAATTATTATTTAACCAACCGTTTATTTAACCAAATTAATATTTAGCCGAATTATTATTTAACCAACCGTTTATTTAACCAAATCATTACTTAACCAAATTAATATTTAGCCGAATTATTATTTAACCAACTTAATATTTAACCAAATTCTTACTTAACCAAATCAATATTTAGCCGAATAGTTATTTAACCATGTCGGCATTTAACAGAATTCCCATTTAGCTAAACAATTATTTAATGAAATTGTTGTTTAACCGAATTACCAATTAACGAAATTTTATTGAGCCAAATACTTATCTAATCATTTCACTAAAAATTAGTAAAAATTTATTAAACCAAATTTTCACCAAATTTTCATTTTACCATTATGCCAATTAACCAAAATGACATTTAATCTATTTATTACTTAACCAATTTGTTATTTAGCCGAAAACTTACCTAACCATGATGGTATTTAACATAATTTTCATTTAGCTAAATAGTTATTAAATCAAATTGTTAATTAGGCGAATTTTCATTTAAGAAAAATTTTTAATAAATTAAATATTTACCCCAATTATTTGAGTAAAAATTTATTAAACTTTATTTAAAAATTAATTTTGTTAAATGCTAATTTGAGAAATGAAAATTTGCCCCAAAAAGAAATTATTCTAATAAAATTCTTTAAATCGAATTAACTAATTACTTTTATGGAATAATTATGCGTTGATTTAAGACAATGAACCAAATAATTTAATTCCAGTTACTTATATACTTTAAAAAGAAAATAAATATTCTTTTTCAAAAATGATCAGTTTTTTTGAGAATCATCCATATAATCGACATAGAATTTTTCTTTAGGAAAAAAAATATTAGGAGCAAAATATTCAGAGAACTTGATGCATCCCAACTATATTGGATAATGGCACGCTATATAGATTCATAGAAGCGGTTACACCCGAGCACACATACAGATTGAAATGTCATACATACGTATATGTCTTATCCTTGGGAAAAAGTTAAGAATGCGCGTCGAAGTAGTTGGATGTCGAATAAAACACTACCCCAGAGGCGTCTTTCGTCTATCGCTCGCCAATATCAGCGAAAATTGAAATAGTAGTGATATTTCTTAAAGTAAAAAGAAAAAAAAAATAGAAAAAAGGGACAGTAAAGAGAGAGAGAGAGAGAGAGATGAAGAAAAGAGAGACACGAAGGGGGTTTTAGTCGGATGCGCACAGATAAGAACCTAAGGATGAGAAAGCACGATAGAAATGATAAGAAAAGCGAAATAAGGTTTTAAATTACGAGGCTTGCTTCCAGAAAAATGGAGGTGTTAGATGTTCTTTACAATCAGATTTACTAACGTCTCTCCTCTATATCAACTTGGAAGAGAAGACCTTTTGCCCTTTGTTCATTCCCAGTATCGATGTCCTATCGGTCCAGTTGTAAAACAAAAAGCCGGCTCATTTTCTCTCTAAGAAAGTTCAACTAACAAAAAAATACCCTTCGCAAAAAAAGTCTAGTTAAATAAAATCAGTCCTTCTTGAAAAAGCACCAACAAAGAATGCTTTTTTTTTATTTTCAGTTATTTACTAATTAATTATTTTTCCTGTTATTACAACCAGAGAAATGTGTCTCAGAGCAAAATAAATATTTATTTGATTCAAATAAATTTTTTTTTATAATAATTATAATTTATAATATACACTGAGAAAAAAAATTTTGTGTTTGCAACAAAATTGTTTGATTAGGCAATTTTGGTTCTTGTAACCAAAATTTGGTTGGCTGAAACAAAGTCGTAGAGTTATGTCAACCAAATATTTGGTTAGACCAACAAAATTATTTGGTTGAACATTTTTAAATTCCAACCAAAATTTGGTTACGGCAAGAAAATAATTTGGTTAACACAACAAAATAGTTTGGTCTAAAAAACCAAATGATCGTTTGTTGTCCTAACCAAAATTTGGTTGCGACAACCAAATAATTTTATTCGCTCTCAGCGACCTTCAGTTTTAAACAGAGGTTTAAACACTCAACCAAATTTTTTGGTTGACTTAAACAAATAGTTTGGTTGCTTAAATACCAACAAAATTTTTTTGTTGGCCCAACCAAATTTTAGTTGCTCTGACTAAACATTTTTCTCAGTGTAGTTTTATAATTATTTAATTATAGAATAAAACTTAATTCGACTATTAATTGTTATTATTAATAATAATTAATTATTATTAATTTAAAAGAGGTGTATTTCTAAAATGTTTCATTTAATACTATATACATAAATAATATATAATGATCCATGGAAAAACATATAAATGCAAATATTTCAAGGATCCAGGATTTTATCCTTATCCCCTTCTCTGAGAACTTGTTTAAGACCTATTTGAATTTCATCAGTGTTTCAAATGTAAACACTGAACATTTTGGTGAAAAAAGGAGATAAAAATTGTAAAAACTATTCTAAAAGTAAACAATAGTAAGCATAAAAATACTCTATGTAAAAATAGTAAAAGTACAAAAAGTAAAAATGAATAAAAATAAAAAATACTATAAGTAAAATAGTATAATAGTAAAAAAATACTGTAAATAAAAATACTATATGTAAACAGCATTTTAAGTAAAAATGCTGTGAGTAAAAAATACTGTAAGTAAAAATAATATTAGTAAAAAATACTGAAAGTAAAAATACTATAAATAAAAAATACTGTAAGTAAAAATACTATTAGTAAAAAAATACTAGGATAAAAATAGTACAAGTAAAATAGTAAAAATACTAAAAGTAAAAATGAATAAAAATAAAAAATACTATAAGTAAAATAGTATAATAATAAAAAAATACTGTAAATAAAAATACTATATGTAAACAGCATTTTAAGTAAAAATGCTGTGAGTAAAAAATACTGTAAGTAAAAATAATATTAGTAAAAAAAATACTAGGGTAAAAATAGTACAAGTAAAATATTAAAAATACTAAAAGTAAAAATGAATAAATCCTAAGAAATCCATTACAAATCTTATTTAAAAAAAAAAAAAAACTCAAAAAAAAAATTTCAACAATTATTATTATTTAAAAAAAAATTGTTATGAGATAAATTTTTTAATAGCAAAAAATCAGAACTGTAAGAAAAATAAATAAGTAATAATTTAAATACTTTGAAAGAGTTCTTTTAGTATGTTGAAATTAATCTACCTTATACTAAGAATATTCGTCATCTGCATTTTCTTTTATATATTTGTTCGCAACAAATCGTCACTGCTTTGTGCGCCGAGCTTTTTTTTAAGTAAAATATTTACATAGCAGTAGGGATTATAAAAGAATATTTATATTCATATATATATATACAGAGATTCAAAGATCTGAGGAAATTGATATTGGAGCAATAAAATTTTTTCTATGTTAACATTATTATTAATAAAAATTCTGAAGTTTTAATGTTTTCCGTTTCAAGATTTATGTCGCACACATTTTTATGATTTTACTTCCACTTTGAAAAGGGATATTACAGAAATATATTTCCATACTTTATATTACTTGTTTAAGTCACAAACAAATGTGATTAAAAATATCTTAAATTATTTACTCTTTCTTTTTCTTTCCTTTTTTTTATTACACCAAAGGATCTTAATAATGTTTTATGAAACAGATGTAAAAGATTTTATGTACTATCAACAATTTTTGATTCCAAATTTATTTACTGAAATTTTAAATGAAGATTTTCATATTTATATAAAGGAAAGAATTTACCGGAAAAAAAAATTATATGTAGAACATTGTTACAGGGTTCTAATTAAAATTTGACCTAGCTTTTCGAAGTTTTTCAATTTAATTATATTGTACACTAAAAATAAATCACGAGCTTTTCATAATAACAGACTTATAAAGGGATTATATTTGCCAAATTTAATTATATTTCAAGATCTCGAGATTTGTAATTGCATT